CCCCACCCGACAGGAGAGGGCCCATTGTCCCAAAGCAATCTGCCATGCTCCTGCTTCTCCACATCCTCTAAGACTAAACAGGAGGCTCCCCAGCCACAGGCAGGGAAGCTCAGCCAGAATGAGACCAGCACCCATGCCTCCCAGCGCCAGGGCACATGGGTAGCTGGCCTTCAGCACTTTCACACTGCAATGTTTTCAAAAGAAAAACTAAAACCTGGGTCTCCTGAGCCTTCCATGGTACTTATTGATAGTTTTCCAGCTTCCCAGTGGCCATTTCATAACCTAAATACATTTGAACAGCAGGAGCACAGGACTGCTGTTCCCATGTGATGTGATGTCGCATCTAGCTCCGCCCCTTCCTGCCTCTCCCACTGAGCAGAAGCTGCTACTGAGGTCTTTTCTGCCCAGGTTGGAAGGCCCTGGGTTGGGACCAGCAGAGGCTATTTCCTGGTGAGTCTTGAAATTCCACTGCAGACAGAACAAAACGAAACAAAAACCTCCTTCTTTTAAACAAATGTTGCTAACAAAGAGATTAGCCAATCAAATTTATAATTCAGCCTCGATAATCCTCACATGATAGTAACCTAAGGTGATCCTGGGCCAAGGCTTGAAGCTTTTGGACACAGAATTAGTCTGATGTTTCAGGGCCATGAGAAAGCCCAGAGGTCAGAGACTGGCAGCAAGAGAAAGCCCAAGGTGACTCATTTCTACTCAGACCACCTCGGCATCGCCACAGGAACAACATCTGAGACAAAAGGCCAGCTGTACCTAGCTGTTTATATTCCTGACAGTCTTGCTTATGTGAATCTTAATGAAACACAGCAAGGGAAGATACAGAGGTCAGTTGATTGAACACAGAATGTTGTGAGATTGTAAGGCAAGGGACATCTTTAGCTGACTAAAAGGCAGCTGTTCACCTGGAGGCGGCGCATGCTGATTACAGGGTAAGTTCTAGGGGAGACCACACCTCCACACCCTAACCATGAAGTGCCCTTGCTGAGGTCCTGAAGGACCTCCTAGTTCTTCCCCACTTCCCTAGGATCCAGCACCAGGTCCACCTAGAATGAATGTCCGGTTGTTACTTGGAAGAAGGGATGGATAAGTAGAGGGATGCAGGGATGGAGAGATGGAGAGATAGAGAGATGAAGGGGTGGATGGACAGAGGGAGGGAGGAATGCAGGAATGGACGTGGATGTATGGAGGGCTGGAGAAGTGAATTGATCTATGGATACAGGGACAGAGGACTGGAGGGAAAGAAGGATGGGAAGATGGATGGCAAGTCTTCAGAGGTCAGAGATTGGTCCTCATGCCACCTCCTTTGAGAAACATCCATACAGAAGTCTCATCTATTCAAAGCTCCATAGTCAGCTGGATTTTGTGCTGGGTCATTTCCCTGACGGCCCATTTCTGCCTGAGTCCTTTGTGTACAAAGAACCCCACGTGGTCAGAGTCACACACATCACCCAGCAGCCCTTGCTGGTTACCTACCCTGTAGACGCCTCCGCCCTACCAGGAGGGCCCCACATTTGTCCAGGCATTAGCTTCTCTACACTTCACAGCCCCTCTCAAGCCCAGGGTAAAGGCAGATTTGTCTCGACCCTCTCACGGCAATTCTCTTCTGCTTGCCGGGGACTGGTTTCAACACAGGCATGCAGCACCCAGAACAATGAGACTCTGAAGACTGTCAGGATGAGGGAGCTGCACCTGGAAGAGTTTTTCACCCACAAAGGGCAAGACCACAGGCAGGTGCCCCTCTCAGTCTTTGGACATTGGGCCATCAGGACATGCTGCTAGAAGAGGCTGCAAGCATTCCAACCAGGGAGTCCACCAGATCCTTGACATCATGGAGTCTGAATTTACCGACCTGAAGCCATCTTCCTCTGGCATCTTGTTGCTGCTTCTGGGTTCAAGTCTCTGTTATGTGCAACCATGAGCTCTTCAAATGACTCATCACCTCCCACCATCCCATGAGGACAACTCTGACTACTGTCCTGGAGTCGACAAGGAAACAGATGGGCAGAGGCTATGGGTTCCACCTTGCTCTACCTGTGAGAGATCTTGGCCTCGCTCTGCCCTTCTTGTGGCTGCAGGGACAAGGATAGAAGGAGAGGTGGGAGGGAATCTGGGGGGATAATGTGAATATTCTGTATCTTGATTGTGGTATGGTCATGACATGACCATGCAGAGCTGTCAAAATTCATTGACCTGTACACCCAAAAAGAATCTTATAGTATATAAAGTCTACCCCATCAGTCTAACTTCACAGTGTCCTCTTGGCTTGTTTTGGGGTTATGTGGTAAGACCGGCTCGATCTTGATGGTTACATGGATTAAGGGATGGAGAAATGGAGGGAAAAAGGAACAAAACAACATAGCATATGTTAAAAACCCATCAAATGCCCAGGTGGTGACTACTGTCCTCACTCTTACCCCACAGCTAGTGCCGAGCTGTGTTTGGGAGTGAGCAAGGGGCCACATGTGCACCCCCCACTCCCACCCCCGTCCATCCCCCTTCGGCCCAAGCAGTCTCATCTGGTTTACATCGGGAGTCTATAAGTGATTGGGTATGAAAGGAAAGCTCTGACGCTCAATGAGGTTTGAAAACCCTGGTCTCCAAGGCCCCTCCGCCTGCCGCCTGGGACTCTGACCACCACTTGCCTCGGGCCTGGAAACAGGCCTAACGCTGTCCAGGCGTGTGGAATCAAAGCCTCTCTGTCGAGTGCACATTTTCCGAGTGCTTGGAGGGTCTGTGAGGTCCTGGGAGGTGGGGAGGACGGCAGGTTATAATTGGCCTCCCCTGGGCCGACACCACCTCTTGAGAAGGGGCCGCTCAAAGAGTGTCCAATTTCCCAGCCCGAGGAGGCCATGTGTTTAATTAAGATCCATAAAAACATAGCCGGCAAAGCGCGAGAGCTATTTCATCTTTCACAGTCAATACGAGCATGTGTCTTACCTGGAAAAAGTGGTTTATGCAGAAAGAATTTCCCAAATGGGTTCCATATGCCTGCTTTCCCCCAGACGGGGCCTTCCACAGGGCTGGGGCAGGGGGCTGGGATGCAAGGCTCAATGCTCACCTTCCGCCGGCTGGCGCC